ATTTTCTTGTGTCATGGGCTAGCGTATGCAAATCAGGTCTTGCATAATTAGTTAGATTTAGGATTTAAAAAATTTATAGTGTTCTGCATATAACCCAGTTTTCTCTTGGGAAGAGGATGTACCTTCACTTTAGTAGGTAGAAGAATTGTGTACTTGATCTTAGTATTATAATAGACGCTTAAACTAGTTGTTTACTGTTGTTATATTATATTATGGTCGCTTCAAAGACCAGTGGTTGTGTATTTATACCCAAATATTTTTTTAACACTACAGACATTTGAAGAGTATACCCTCTCTTGAGTTCTAGAATTATGCGAAAAGATACCAATCTCTAAAGTACACATTTTGCATAGGTTAAGTAGTGTTTAGATATAGCTGCTATTGACGTATTTTAACAAGGTGCTGGTTTTATAAGCCTTGTATGTAAAAATGCAGTAAAAAATTCGGCTGTTTTTATAAACATTTGTTAACATTACCAGCTTAAGAGTTTCGTTAAATAACAATGATGTATAAGTTTTAAGGTTGTCTATGCTCTTAGTTTTATGAAAACCTCTTGCAGTAAGTTTAGCTTAGTAGAAATTGTTTTAACATCAAACCTTTTATTGGTGGTAATGATGTATAAAAAGTTAAAAAACTTGATTCTATAAACTAACTAGCTCTATGGACACAAAAATATCACCTCCAATAGATTCTTATAGTTAAAGTTTTTATTATGATGTTAGTCCATTAAAACAATATTTTAATAGACAATTTATAAGGCTGTTAAAATTTTAAATCTATTAGAGGTAATTGGCGTCTGGACGGTGCAAGTTAGGTTATTAATCAAATTATTTTTAATTTTAATATGTTCTATTCTCAAAGATCTAAGAATATGAATTCTTTTTTAATTGCTCTCTCGTACTGACATTTATCGTTGGTGTCTTTCACTTCGATGAATGTTAAGTGATTGATTATCTTTTGATTTAAGCTTTTTTGTCAAATAGAGTTGGTATTGCAGTTAGTATCTTCATTCTTTCATACTGTCCTTTGAATTAGTACAATGATTTCTCTCTTCTTCATTATCATTGTCTCCGTTTGATGGACCAACAGTTTTTTTTAATGTTATTGCGTTGTAGTTCCTTTTTTTGAAATTTGAGTCTTATAATGAAAACGCAAAGTATCCTATGATGGGTCCTAATTTCAGAGAGCTAAAACATATAACACCAAAGGTTCACCCTAATATAATAATAATGAAAACTGCATGATCTGCTTGACAAACTTTGAAAGGAAAGTTATTTAGCTCAATAAGACAAAGACAAAGAGACTTGAATGAAATTTTATACACACAATTTAACTGGACGCGTTGTCACTATAGCGACAAGTTATTACAGACACTTTATTAACTTTGGCAAAATTAAGACATAAAAAACATCTTAACTCGACCGCATTAAGAAATCAGCTAATATATATGAGGTCGAACTTAATCGCAATTCCAGAAGAGGAGAGTTAGATTATAAGTTATAAGATGGTAAATAGTATTTAATTAAATTACTATAAACAAAAACCATTAAGTAAATATCTTAATTTTTATGCTGAGGATAAGAGGAATGTTGATACGAACGAAGCGTATTTCAAAATATTTTCTAAAAGAAATATATAAGGAAACGAAAAAGATTACTATTTTTGCCTGCAAACATTTTAATAATATTTGTTCTAATATATATATATAAACTAAATGAAAAGTTTTAAATCACAATAATTAGTTAAATAAATCAAGTTAAAAAATTAATACAGAAAATCCGCCTTAATCAAGAAGGATGGTTAAAAAAATGTGTTTAAATTATTGAAAATTTTATTGTTTATCTGTCATATGAAGACTTTATTTCTTCTCTAGTGGTTGTTAATTGCCCTTGAAAATACTTTCTTAGACAAGAAGTTCGTCTAAATCTCTCATTAATATTTTTAAACCGCTTTTCGTGCTACGTCTGTCTCCCTTGGGTCTTGTTCTTTTTCTCGGATCGCCACGACTTTCTTTAAAAAAAATGGTCATTAAGTATAACATGGCATTTAGCTCGAGATTGATTCCCCCTCCATATTTTATTTGAAACATGACCACTCAACTACTATTGACGGTGATTTAACTGTACAATTACGAGGAGGAACATTGACCCGATTTAAAGTGAATCTTGTATCAATAGTTGCTCACTCTGCCACACCCTCTTCTGGTTAATATATCCTAAATTTTATGATCTCTGAGGGCCGTAACGACATGCTTTAACCCTTTTACGGGAAAAACTCTGAGGCTTAAAATAAATTTGTTTAAAGTTCACAGGTAACTAAATTTACCACTTTTTCATACTTTATTAGTTGGCTGCCTAATCCGTTAGGACATGGTACTACTTACTAGATTGTTTCAGGGACGGATGCTGTCGTTTTGAGTCAATTTCCATAGACCTACTCTTTCAAACTGAAACTAGGCAAAAGTGGTAAACATAGTAACCAGTAACCTATAAGGGGTTGAAGGCGACAGGAAGTATCTTCAGGTTTTAAAGATTCCGCGGTAGCTGAGTTCTTTTTATGGAGTGTAGTAATTTTAAAGCTAGGTTACCCAACACCTGTCCTACTGTTATGCAACCGCCATTGAATTGCAAAACCTCTAAATACGCCGGAAAAAAGTATTTTATTACTTCCGCTATTAATTTTGAGAGCTTTGAACACTATCCCTAACTGATTCAAAAATAAGCTAGTTGCCTTCGGCCCCTAGTGAAAAACGGATCGGGGTCGAAAAATCAAATGTTATTTAAAATCTACTACTGAATTTTTCGAGTTAATTTTAAGGGACCTTTAAATTGTTGTTGACGGTTTGTAGCTCTCGAGAAACGTTATATATTGAGATAAAAATTACATTAACGACGTTGTCAGCTATTCTATTTTTGCTTCCTGATAAGCAAGCGTATTGCGATTTAAAATAAATTAAAGGTATCAGGGTTTCCATACAAAGTTAAGATCCTAGGTTCCCAAGACTCTTTAGAAATACCAAGTGCCCACAATTTAAATGATCGATACAAGAAGGAATAAATAAGTGAACTAATAAGTACATAAAACAAGAAAGGAGTTATAACACAAACTGATTACCTGTGCACAGACGAGAATAGAACCTATATACAGAAGCTTAAAGTGGTAATAGAACTTAAAAACCGAAAACAGTATAAAAGTAACTAATTATATTAAATTATTAAGTCTAAAAAATATTGAAGTAAAAATATATATTGAGATTAAAGTTAAAAGTAATAAATTATAGAAAGTTGTGAGGTAAAAATATTTATTTATATTATGGTTTGAAAATTTTATAAAAGACAATATTAAAGTAATAAAAAAAAACTTATAATGTAGGAACTAAGCAATAGGCGCTTTACGATTATATTTCGGCCCTAAATTTAAGTTATTAAGCCTCAAATATCTGTTTCTGAGGCAAATAAAGTATTGGGAAATTTAGAAAAAGCAGAGATCGCGAATTAAAATATTTTGACTAATGAAACAAAGCTTGGAGATGCAAGCCATATCATAGCAGATGCAACCCCCTCTAGTTCTACGGAACTTCGTTGTGTAGGAACTAAATAATGAATTCACTTCACGGCGCGGTGTAAAACCTACAAATGCTAGACTCCAGCACACTCCAGTTCGCGTCCCCATCCCCGGAATAATTAAACTATGTATGACTTTAAAATAAAATAAAATATTTAATAAGGTTAAAAGAAGGTTGGAACCGCTGCCTTTATAAATACATTTTTGCTCCCTTAAGAAGGTAGGCCACTTGGTTCCATAAAAATCTAACTAAAGTTAGCGTCAAGAAAAGTATTATTTAACAAACAAAACTTTACCACTGATTACTTGATTTTTTTTTTATAAATGCTACCATACCTAAGTGAATGGTAATAATCTTATGTTATCGTATAGCTTATTTTAAACGAGTAAATATTAAATTACCATGCACTATTTTTTACTCTGTAACCTATTGTATTGAGGAGTGTACTGTATTATATCACATAAAACTAGAAGTCGAGATTGACTTCAAGCTCATGTAAATATGTAGTCACTATGAACACGGATTCTTATTTTACCCACTTTTTTTTACCAAAAAACCAAGGATTATAAATGTTTAATAAAATTTTTAGTAGTTTAAGTCCTTACCCTAACTTATGGTCGTTAATTAAAAAACAGAAGTTTATTAAATAGACCTTTAAAAAAAGGAAAAAGCGAAAAAAGAAAAATTCAAGATTATTTATTAATTATAATCTCACTGTTCACCTTAAAATCGTACTTAAAAAAATTATAATCTATGCTTATGTGAATTTGGTAATATATATTTTTATAAACGTAGTAAATTTTTTGTAACATTAATAAGGTCCTTGTACCTATAATAATACAAGAAGAGAAAGTATTAACTCACGGCTGTAAAAAAAATATATGCACCAAAAAAAAAAACCAAATGGGTTCATAGAAATTAAAACAACAGTCGTCTAGAGGTTAAACTAATATTAAAACGCGCATTAAACAACGTGAAGATTTATCTTACAGACCAGCTTTGCAAATTTCACTAATGGTTAAGTACCAAATGATGCATGCATAAAGGTAAGAAGCAATCTTATCATTACAATATAAGATTTTTGTTTCCACATATATTACCTTATATCATTACAATATAAGATTTTTGTTTCCACATATATTACCTTATTACGCCATTACTGATCTATGGTTTTTTTTATTCTTTTATAAGGATTCATTTTTTAGTAAAAATAAATCGATAATTGTTTTTGCGTTTTTTCTCCAAACGTTTACATCTGGCGCGTCTTGAAATTTTAAACACTTTTATAACGTACATGGTGCCCAATAAAGTTCAGCATGGCACTAATTACAAATCCCATTGGTTTTTTCGATTTCTATATTTAGCTTGAGTATTCTTCCTATTGAGCACTCCGAACTCTAGTCGTTTTTGTATGTTAATTACTTTTTTTTAAGTGGCACTATTAAAAACTTAAAATTTTTTACATCAAAAGACTACCGATTTTTATAATAATGGCGGAGGTTTTCTTTTTTGCAGTATATTTAAAAACTTTATTAACAATAAATAATATCTTGAAGCCTACCTCCTTATCGGAAGCTGACTTTAGGAAACGTTATGGGAACATAGTAACAAAAAGTGTCGCAAGGAAAGCATTAAACAAGGTCTTTTTTTAAAATTTCCTTCGTTATCATTATTTTAATATCTTTAAAATTATAATATTTCTTCATTTACTTTTTGAATAGGACAGACACTATTTTGACTCTGGAGATCATGCCTTATCTAAAGCTGGTAAGGCGGAATGCCCTCTTGGTAATAAAATTCCTTCACCGGAAGTTATTACTTCTCAAGTTCGTAGGAAGCCGAGTCAGTTGCAAGTAGAACACTTAAGCCAGGAATCTTAATAAATTTATGACAAATATACTAGATATTGGTTTTAGTAGATTTTGAAATTGTTTATAGCATGAAAGTACGTTTGAGATAAAGTTAAATAAGATTTGAGTTTTCTTTTATTCTTCTTTTACGATTTTTATAACTTTTATTAGAGGATTAGCGACTTATAAACAGGACGCGACTCTATTTTTTAAGAACCCCTTTCTCCCTTATCTTTCACTTTACACTTCTCAGATTTTTACTTTTGATCTTTACTTTTTTGGAATCGCAAACTATATTGGTGGGACTTCGTTATAACGGTATACACTACGTCGAAAGTTAGGGACACACAATCTGTTAATTTACAGCTACTTTACTTTATTAATTATATATTACAAGGCTTTTGGTCTTTTCAATTGAAGACGTAAAGTAAAGCAATAATAAATTATTGTTTTGAAAATAAAAAGTAAGACAGTCTACCTGTATAGTACTCATTTAGGGAAGCCTAAAATTTTAAAGCTCATACCCTTAGCAAAGGGGAGGGAGAGGCATCAAGCTTCACACAATAGCTAAAACACCTGCCTATAAAGTTCACTGGAGTTACCTTATATTTTAATTTTGCTGTTCTATTGGGATTATAGTAACTTTTAAAAGCTTATTATGATTTATAAAAACTTTAGTTCTAATGGTAAATTGTGCACCCTCGACGTTTTCCTATCGCTTGTAAGTATGAGCTATTAGATTTACCTATAAACTTAGAAAAAAATTTTAAATTGCAAACCCAAACCGCTTGAGCAAGTAACGCAACGTTATATGTAATTAAAATTGATTTATATATATAATGCCTAACTTTTTTGTTACACGACTTTTTACTATAGCTGTTGAATATGAGTTATTAGATTCGCGTTCAAAATTTAAAATACTTTTTTGAAATCACAAACCCCAACAGCTTGAGCACGAAACGCCATTTATTTATATTTCAGGTTTTATATAAAATACCAACTTTTTGTTAGATATGACTTTATTTATTTATAAAAAGTTTATTATTAACTTTCTAAACAATCCTTGCAGATTCTAAGTACTGAAATTAACTTAAATTTTACAGGGTGAGTACTCAACTTTCAATTTTATAAATCTTTCTAGTACTAATTTTTAATGCGGCGCACTTTAACTCTGTTGCTTTAGAAAACATAACTTATCTTTATTGTTAAAGAGCCTAGTCTTCGTAGTCCGGCACCGCTTCATCATTTATAAGTTCGATCAATTTCAAGTAAATTTCAGATTGTTCGTCTCCTTTTAAAGCATCTTTCACAAAGCAGCATTCAACTTTCATTCTAATCTGTATAGGCGCTAAATAACGAAAAAATAAATTTAATGGGATCGCCATGCCATCTCTAAAGCCCCTCGTAATACTCCGCAGAGGACGTTAGAATAGCACAAGTTTGCGTAAATTTCTGGAAGTTCAACAAAATCGGTTAAAGGGTTTTCGCCAATAATTATAAAACATTCTGTATCTAGGTTTCAAGGAATTTAAAATATAGTTAAATTAAAATAATGGATCTTTTTCTCACCTATATTCTAATTTAACTTAGTTTTAAGTAAATTAATGAAAAAAATTTGAAAGGAAAAGAGGGGAAGATCTACTTATAAATCACAGTATCTTGTTATACCTTCAGGCTTTGGTTTTCTAATACTAGGCTGAACTCCCAGGTACAACGGAAAGGCATTCTTTTATGATGAAAAATATAAAAGTAAAGTTAATGATTACTATTCTTTAAAGCTGATTGTCTTAATTTACTTATGAGTTGTACAATGAAAATATATCTGCACAGCAGTACTCCTTCAAAAATAGTAATATACTTTTACTATTACTTCCACCGTCTCATTAAAAGAAGCACAACGAAAGTTCGGTTCGCGAGCAAGAAAGTCGTCTATCAATCTTATTCCAATGTTATAGCCTCTACTTGTACTTGTTTAATTCGTATGTTACTCAGAAGAAATGAACTTTTACATTTTTTCTAATTGATTATTGACTTCACTGACATCTCCAAAGTCCTTTAACAGTTGAACAACGAAAGAACCGTAAGTAAGACTAAACAGTTCAGAATTCTGGGTATAAATTTTAAAAAAATAACCTTAATTTTAAAAAATACGCAAAAAGCTTTAATTTATACTAAACGTCAGAATATATATAAAAATTTATAAAAGTGTTTAATATACCACTTTCCTTCTTTCAGCTTCTGTTTGAATTATTACTTTTGACATTAAGCTGGTAGCGTAAAAAGGTTAAGTAAAGCGCAAAGTATTTGATAGCTACAAAAAATACTCAATTTTTTTTATTAATAAAGTGAATTTTATACACAAAGCGATATAAAGTAATTGCATAAGTTATTTTTTCCAGTATAGCAATTGCTTGATAACCGACACCAGAGTTTCCGAGTATTCACATAACAACACCATAATATTTAGCCGAAATTTTAATAAAAAGGGGTTGTTGCTTTAAATTAAATACTCTTAAATACTTTATTAAATTAGAGAAATTTCTTTTTGTTGATTTATTTCCATCTTTGTATTATCAAGTACTTAATATTTTTTAAAATAAAATGTTTATAAATTAGCAGGATTTTTACTCATTATGTGTACTAGTTGCGCCCACAGATGCCTTTATATAGATTTGTAAAGTTTCACTACAAAACTAAATTGTTTATCTTAACTATTCTGGCGTCCTTGCTTTAGCTAGATTCCGAACGATCTCTAAGTTAATTTCTAAGTGGTTAGCTTTCGAAATAATACTGGAAACGAAGGGAACTTCTACGATTAAATGATTTCTACGAAAATACTGAGGCGAATGGTAGATATAAATATTAGAGTAGAAAGACGTAGAACTAGGGATTAAAAGATATGTACGCAAGCATGAAAGAAAATGAACAATACCGAAATAGAGACCTCGATTGATTAAAGACTATCAACGAGTTAAGCAGAACTCATAACTTAGATGGGTCTGTTACTTAGAACTTGATACCTTACTAACTGGTTTCCTGCTCCCTAAAGATGGGCACCCCCTTTTCGACGTGGTGGAAATTCTTTCAAGGGCGACGGGCATACATATTAAAAATAAAAATGGAACAGAACAGGAATCCCGAGTGTGCTGAAGTTAGCTGGGAATCCTTATGCTGCTTCCATCATGTTCTTCGTTAATAAATAATATTAACAATGCAGTTGCATAAAACAACTTTTGAATGGCTTGAGTAAAATTAAAGGGCCCACTCGGCAAAAATTTGTTTTGACAACCTCATTTAATTTAGGCATTTTACGAATTTTTAAAATTACATATTATAGTATCTGGGCATTTTTTATTTTATTTAACTATCCTACAAAAATCTATTGGAAACGCGGGCACTTAAATTCAAACTGACCTAGGTTTTTAGATTTACTAATAAAAGGCAACAATAATAATGAACTGGATTGATATTAAAACATATTAAATTTAATATATCAAGTAAAGAACTTAAAGTTTTTCAAAACTTTCTCACTACCTAAAAAAATTTTTCAAAGAAGGTGTAAAAGTATCAATAAAATAGCTTAAACAAAGCATGTCTAAAAGGCATATTTTCAAACTAAAAGTTAACTATAAAAGAATTATTTAAACTTAGGTAGCATTAATAATTAGAGTAATAACGAGTACAAAGTCGTAAGCTACTCGGATAAGCTAACTGTTAAGATAATTAACGACTCTAAGTGATATAAATGCGTACAAATTTTATGCAATTGCAAATCTTGTAACATATTTTAGACTGTCCAGTAATTATTTTAAAAATAGTTTGAGACCATAGATAAAGTTATTTTACGTCATGGATTTAAACTTTGAAACAGTTGTGGCGGACGAGTGAGTTTCTTTTTTTAAGTACTACCTTTAACAATGCCTAATTCTGTCGTTTCCTACTAATTTAAGTTATATATATATATTATTGGTTCTAACTCTAAAATCGTATGACTTAATCCAACTTCACAGGGTATTACGGGGTAAACTAATAAAGGGTAGAATTTAAAACCAATTATCATTGGTTATTTACATTCTTTAATCCCTTTCTTACTGAAAGATTTTCGCCACACCAAAAATTAAACTTCCAGTTTGAGGGAGTGAGATAACGAGCCCTAACACTTACCAAAACGAATTTGCGACCTCCATGTGCATTAAAACTAAAATGATTTTACTTTAATTTAAAAACTGCATTCAATTAGTAAGTACACAGGTATAAACACTTTTAGTGTAGCCTACCATGGAAGTCCGAGCTTACACACTGTAAGGCCCTTAGGCACTACAAACTTGTGTTACGTAGCCATATTCGTAAGGCAAAGCTTAAACAATATAACTAGGAAAAGAAAAAATTGTTTGTTTATCAAATAATTGGAAGAGAAAAAAAATTATACAGCAAACTTGAGTCAACCGGTCTTTTTTATACACTTAAAGATTTGGGGAACACACTACCGACATGGTTAACCTAGGGCGAGAAAAGTTTGTGGTTTTCAAAAAAATTTAGATATCTGTATTTAAAACGTTATACTACTCTTATTTATAATAAATAGGCCAGCACTAATGAAGGAATAAAGGATATGTATTATTTCGGGGTCATTCGTGCATACTGTTGTAGAGGCAGAAAGGGTTTAGCTGAAAAAAAAACATATACTCAATTTTTAAGTGATATAAAAGTTATAATAATGCCGACCTATAGTTTCACTGCATGTAAGTTTTTAAATACCCTCTCGGCTAACATTTTTATTTAGAAAAATCCTTTTTAAATCTTGGATTTTAAAATAAACGGGGAGGTTTTAGTCTATTTTTAGGAACATAAAATAAGTTAGAAGTCGAATTTTTTTTTATTACTTTATACCATTAACTAGCCTCGCCTTTTAAAAAAAGGAAGTTTATATTACAATCCAAAAACAATTATTAAGTTCCTAGATCCTTTTTTACTTTATGCATGTTTTATGTTTTAAGAGCTTATAATGAGAATTGATAAAAGATTATGAAACACTCATTCTAAATTTATTCGTATACTTTACATTTAATTTGTAATAACTGGGTCATGTGTGCATGCAGGCCTTTCACAAGGGCCTAGGCCACCCTTTCGGCTTCGTTATCTGAGTCAATCGAGTGAACTGTTATCCACCCCAATAAAGGTGTACTATCTACACATTTTTTAACAGTGTTGGGAGTATAACAAAAGAAAAAAAAAAAACTTGTTAGCACCTGTAGGCAAATAGGAGTAAAAGTCACTTCCAAGCGAATTGTATAGCAGCTGTAAGGCTGTAGGCTCAAAGAGTGAGACCTTTTAACCTAAATTAAATTTTAATGCAAGAAATGAAGTAAATAACAAATAAATAGGACCTTATTTATGGGACAAAATGCAAAAAAAAAAAAAAACTTGTATTCTTCCCTTGTTTCTCGCACTTGTTAAGAACAGATGCTTTCATCTTGTGCTATATCACCAAAATTCTAAAAATTAAATAAATCTGCATGTTTTCAGCTTTTACGGGCCTTCTTCTCTTTATTTAAAGGGGTTATGGCGTACTAACCTGCTAAAGCCCTAAACCTTCTTAAACTTTTTAGAAATGCCTCGTACTTTGTTTAGTTTACAAACTTATTGTTAAAGATCTTAGTTAGATTCTGTGAAACGATAATATTTCTTATCGATTTACTTAATTATGCCAACAAAACTGAACTTTCGGTGTATAAAGTAGATGGTTTTCTTTCTCTTGTGTGTAAAAGACCTTTTAATTTGTTTAAAAACTATTCAGCTTATAATTTTTTCTTTGTACGTCCTCTTTTTTTTTTTACTGGGGCATTAGTACCTTCATTCCATCTTCTATACTATCCGAATTAATTGGGGCAAGGTCAAATACGCAATCCATCTGAGGCAAGCGTGGTGAAACGAAACGAATCCGCGACCTTGAATTTACAGGTTAATGCTCTTAAGCTTCCAACTAACTCTCAATTTTGATATGAAGTGTTTACGTAAGTGCCCTATTAGATTTTCCAATGCTCGCCTTCATTTCGAACTAATTTTTTATAGTATTTCTCTTCATAAATAACATAAAATTTTTATTGCTTTGATATTTTATAAAATACATTTAGTTTAAAAAACTGTAATGCGATATTAAAAAGATCCTCACATTAAGTTATGTTTAAATTTTAAGGGCTGTCAAAATAATTACTTCTTTTGTCTATTGCCTGCACAACATTAAAGTTGAACGGTGATTGAATATTTAGTAGGGCTAAAGAGTTAGTAAATGCAGGTAGCGCATACTTGTTTTAAATGTACTTAACATACAATGAAGTTTTTCTACTCCTTTGGTGCGTGCATGGTTATCAAGGATCATATAGTAACAGAAATTCTACAGAAAAAATTGTCTCTTTTTCTTCCAGGCAAAGTCGAAGAGTGAGAGCAAACCTAAGATTAAAAAAATTAAAAATTATAAGTTTTTTAATTCTATTATAAAGAGGTAAAAGTTTAAAACTAAAATTTAATTTTTATAAATTTTTTTTGAAACTTTGGCTTCCACAGTGTTGCCAAAGTTTTTTAAAATTTAAATTTTAGTGTTAGAAAACAGTCAATTAACAATTCTTAATACTGTAGGTTATATGGCCCAGTTACAGTGCACAGTTAAAAAAAAAATAAAAAGGGTAGATCCATACAACTGAGGATATGCTCTTTGCATTTATATTAATTTTAACTGGTAGATTTAATCTCACAAGATTATTTTAAAATTGTGTATATACTATCCTTTCTAATTCGATAAAATAAGATTTCGATCTTTCGTTTTTGTGGCATCTTTTCAGTCTCTTGGGGTGTGAAGAAGTTTTAGCTTTGTTATCTAAAGAGCAAGTTTAATGTATTGATTTGGCCTATAAAGTCGAACAAATTGTTGATAGTAACTGTCTACAGATACATTATAGGGAGCTTAATGTCGGTAGGGCTTGTGTACTATGAAAAGAGCCTAAAAGCATAAAAGGAAATTTTAAACACATTTATAAATGATGTTTTAGTAGCAAAAATGAAACTTCTTATCCGCATGGCATTTAAAAAAGCTTTTTAAAATAAAAATTATGAACTAACAAGCTCACAGGCATCAACTTTTTTAAAAAATAACTTGTGTGACAATCAAGTATAAGTGTGAGATATTGACACGTCGCCAGAGTTTTAATATTACTAAAAAATTAGCAGGGTGTAGAGCAAAACAAAAAGTGGAGAGCATGTGATAACTTCATTTTATATGGCATTAAACACCTTTCACTACTCTAAAACATATCTTTTTTACCACAATTTTTTAAAGAGCATGACCAAAACGGTTTAAAATATTCATATATGCTTTGGTGCACGTATTAGATGGATGAGAAGCTTACAGTCGGGAGTAAGCTAGTATTTATACAAAACAAAAATATTATAAAAATAAGTCAGCAGTAACATAGAATTAGATTTTACCGCTTTGTATTAAGGGCGTAAATAATAAATTTTTTGATTGGCACTGTAATACTATCAGGGGGTGTTATAATCCTAAAGAGTCTATAGTCACGAGCACTTTTGTTGCTTGAAGGGGTTCAGAGAAAGCCTCCCTGGTGGGAGGATTATAGGATTTGTAAAATTAAATAATAAAGCGCTTTTTACTTTTATTCTTGACTCTTCTGCCTTACCTTTTCTAACTCTCAGTTGTGCCCTAGCTGTCCTTATATTTTATTTTAATAAAAGTTCTCTTTTCATATTTTCTGCTTATCTTTGTTTTTAGTTTTAGTCGACCTTGTTATTTCTAATCTCTGCTACTTCGCTCTTTTTATTTCCATCGAACTTTATAATCTATACTTGGGTTATATCAGGTAGTGTCTTTGAATAGCATGTAATTTTCCAAATAGAGTTTAACCGCAAAAAAAGTCATTCCGAATAAGGTTTTGTTGGAAATAAAACAGAGATTTGCAAATAATCAAATTTTTTAAACACCAACAACAAAAAGGGCGAGAAAAAAAAAAAGAGCGGGAGGTACTTAATTATAAGTAGTCAAGCTGTTTATAACCTTTGAAAAGGTAAAAAAGCTTTTCAAATTATGTTTATTAGTTTAGAATAAGTTAAAGATTAATTAAACATTTGTTAAATTATCCTGTTATAAGAGTTGATAACTACTATATTTGTATATAATAGATATTGGTTTACGTACCCCTGCCAAAATGTTTAAAATTGCGTTTATTAAAAATACTTTTTAATTTAAGGTTTTTAATTGGTTTGTCTTTTAATTATAGTTTCTGTTTAGTTTACTTATGTATGGTGTATGCGTAGGCTGTTAAATATATGTTAGTGTTTGTAGATTTAAATAAACCCCGATTTAAAATCGCGACCAGAAGGCGTTTTAAAGGCCTTTCTAAAGATTAAGTGGGACTCGGGTTGTCTTCATTATTCTAGTTATAAGACTCAACTTTGTATCTCAAAAAGCATTTATGAAGCGACGTTTACGTCCATAAATGTACTAACGTAACATTAGCTAAAGACTACTTTTTGCAACGTTCTCTAAAGCCCATTGAAAACTTAATGTGGGAGTAGACAACTTCTTTATTAGTTATATCGAGCCATGATCCCTACCGTGAGATAGAAACTGAAGCTGGTGGAAGTACAATGGCGAAAGTTACTTTGACTATGAAATAAAATAGAATTTTTTAGAATTAAATAGCTTGAGTGGGTGATAAATTTTTTTAAGTGAAGTCGGTATTATTTGCACTATTTAAGAGTCTCTAATAGTTGGTCTATATAAGCGTATGCTCTTCACATGAAGGCTGCTATAATATTTGGGATACTACGCAGTAAAACAAAAGAAGGTAACGTCCTGTACTACTAGAGACTTTTTATTTAAAAAAAGAAATATGATAAAGCGACCGGATGACAAAAATAATCACCAACACCAAACTTATGCACGCATAAACTATTAATTAGAGGGATTAACTTACAATTGACATGTTTAATATTTAACAAACAAAGTAAAAGATTTTATTTAAAGTTATTTATAAATGTTAATGTTAATTCAAAAAAATATATATATTTATGTCTTTTATTAATTATTATTACTATTTTTGCATTCTTTGCGCTACTACTACGAAGGGTTTTACATAAGAGCAAATTTCGTATTAAATATATTTTACAACTAAAGTTCGACAACTCTGATTGTAAATTCGGTGGTATTTTCTTAAGGATTGTAGTGAACACTGCAGGCATCTGTAGATCTTACCAAATTCTGTTTTGGTATGAGAAACCAACAAAAGTGTGTGTGTTTTATTTATTTAATTTATAGCACTGGCTTACAACAGGCGTGATTTAGTACTGCTTAGCCTACTTTCCCTCTACTAATTGGGTGCATAAGCCACAACTTTTATAGCGACTTAATGCGCCATCTCCGAGAAGAACGGTTGCGCTTTTATAATCACTGATAGATAGTACATATCAATAAGGTGTAATGGCAAATTAATAACATTATTACATGTAATGGAAAAGTAGAGAAGTTTTATTACCATTATATTATGTAAATTACATATTAATAGGTTAATTAAAATAAAGTATAATCTTACCATATTCTCCCCTCTGATAAATCTAAGAAATGTTTTGGCCGCGAGTACTTGGTGTACCAATGAGGGTTATAATTAAGTGCCTGTCTAATTAGTAGTTGTAATGACTACAGACTCCAGTAACCCAGTTTCATTAGAGTTACACTTTCTGTGTAGCTGGCTGTTGCGCACATATCAAGGAGCTTTTAACACTATTCTCAGAACGCGATTTTGTAGTATTCGTAGTCGATGAACATGTTTGTTTTAGGGTTATATCTGGCAAAAGAGACGTAATCAGCAGCGAGCGTATTACCGATTTGTATAACAGTTGCTTGTTTAAAAAATACAAGTTGCATTCCTACATAGTACGAAATAAAAAACGGCTATAGCTTGACTGGTTTTGGAAATGACTTAAGAAAGATGCGGAGTTGATCTTAGGCTGTGGTGAAGCAGAGCCCCGGAATATTTAACCTTCTTACTTCGAGGAGCGACAATTGGGTTTAGTGGGAGGCTAGGAGTCTGGGGAAGTAACCTCCTTTTTGTTATAATTATAAAGTTACTTTTTCGACGCAATAATAATTAACCTCCATGTTGAAAACAATGTCTTAAGTACTGCCAAATAAGATATATGTCCATAAACACCAGTCAGACGGATTTTGAACTATAATATAAGGCTGTGTCATTAGTGTACTGGACTAAGTTTATATCTAATTATTGTGGCATACCGGACATGTAGCTAGAAAAAAGTAAAAGGGATAGTGAGGAGCCTCGTGGGGCACCCATCTTTGATTGACTAATAGCGATATTTAACGAATTTATACTAGCAGTAAAAGTTATATCCGTAAGGTATGATTGTACTGTGGTATTTAATTTCAAGACCAGACCAGCGTGCCATATTTTATCCGAAGACTTTCAATATCTTCAAAGACCACAACTATTACTTTTCTATGCTGAAAAGCTTTTGCAGCTTCTTCCGTAAGCCTGGGTATCTGGTGAATTGTGGAGTATTTTTTCGAATACCAAACTAAATATTTGGCAAGACGTACAAACTATCGGCACTAATTTTCTTGTTACCTAGAAAAAATAATCGCATCACTTCTACCACCTATCTTAGGCAGGAAAACAAGCTTATTAGGCAATAATCATTAATAAAACGACAGTGGAGTTTTAGATCTCGAAATTTTTTATGGAAAGTTTTGCACCAATAAAAGTTACCCTCTCGGGTGTTGCCTTTGCACATGTAAGCTATCTTTAAAAAACGCACAACTACAAGGTTTACCGCTTCCCAAAAGTTCATGACTCCAATTACTGCGAGATTTTAAAAGAAGTTGCGAAGTTAGCAAATTGTTTTAGCTAACATAAAAGATACCCCATTGACCTACACGCAGGAGACTAGCGGAAGAAACCAATTTTCCGGTCATGGGCACGACCCCTCCTTGCTCACCGGATGGTTGGACCGCGTAAGTAAATATACATTTAAGGCTCTGGTTTACAGCTGATGAAAATAAGGCGATCCATATTTGGAGCCTAATTTCCCCGCACCCATTTAAAAAACGGTGGGAGCTATTTTATTCTTAAAATTATACTACGGCGATAACATCAATTTAATAGCTAAACAAAAAAAGCATTCACTTTAAACTGTACATAGAAATCTCTTTTGCAGATGTTTGACTGATAAAAACCCCCTAATCAGCGGTTGGCCTCCACAGTTTCCTGATTTGAGCAACATCGAAAATATGTAAAAAAAAATGTTCGAAGAGAAAGCGATAAAAAGTTTCTCAATTTCTACGAATTTTAATTGAAAAGCTCCAACCTTACCACGATAATATCGATGTGCTCTTTACAAAAGGTAGCTACTCCAGCAATCCCACTCTTTTTTTGTGATACGGCCAATTTTAAACTTCCTTGCAAATGTTAGCAGAGTGCGATAGAGAACCATAGAAAACATTTATATATTCCTCAATGTTTTCATATTTTTTTCTCATAATTTAAAGAATATTTTTTGAAAAAAAAACAGTTATACATTTTCGGGGCCCACCGCATAAAAAGCAATTAAGGAAGGAATATATTAGTGGTTTGGTCACTTTTGAACGAAATGGAATTACGAAGGCTTCCTAGTAATGTTAAATTCCGTAAACTTAAAGAAAGTGGGTTGAACAGCTTTAAAGATGTTAGCAATAATAATTTTTAATTTAAGATAAAATAACTATTACTTTAAAAATTAAAGTGACGAGTTGATTTGTTAAAATAGTAATTGAGCGACATTTACTAATATTTCTTATCTTTTTTAGACCAATCATCGTCTTCGAAGTTTCCAGGTTTACCCTTTAGCTTACAGATAAGTACCATTACCAGCTTAACACACTGTGAGGTGCTGCAACTGAACTTTTTAAGCTATGTAAAAGACTGGCTTTCAAGGAAAAGTAGATGGTTTCCAAAAATATCAAGATTTATAAAAAACATACAGAACAATTTGAAAGCAATAAATTAATTGAGGAAATCAATTTTGTAAAATATCTTCCTCGACCTTTATGTATTAAGTGTGGAAAGATAATAACAACCCAAGGCCAAAGATGGCATTGTTTGATATGTAAGGTTGTAATTTTTAAAATCAAAGATCTTATTTTTCAACATATATTTCTTTTTTGTAAAATAATTTAAGTTCAATATATCTCTTTTAATCTTACCTAGGACTTTTTCTTGTGCCAGCTCTGCTATCTAGAAGATGGTCATGAGCACGAGTGTTACAATAATACTTGGGCAAAACATTTTGATCAAAGTAAAAATATAATTTTTTCAGTGTGTTAAATTTAAATCTAAATAACAAATAACATTGAAATCTTACGAAAATATTTCACTAGAAAGACAGTTGCTGTTTAAGAAAGGGGGAACCTTTACAAAGGAATGTTTAATTAATGGAAATAAAACCTTAATTAAAAATAACACCAAGAAATCCCCAATTTATTATCAAAAAGTAAAAAAGGATTTTCTAGGTTTATCTAAAGGCTCTCTTTTTTCAAATGAGGATGATATGCGCTCCAAAATTAACTATCCTCAGAGCAAGAGAGATTCCCAACTTTTTAAAAAAGCTGATGAAGAAATGAAAGTATTATCAAAGCTTCTTGAATTTTGTATGGTACGCGATTTGGTAGATATTTTTGTATCATATGAAAAAATAAGAGCTGGAGAGCAAGGTGATTTAACTAAAGCGCAACTAAACGAAGAAAACTTTGAAACAATAAGTACCAATTCTATTGACACTAATAATAGTACAGATAAAAAAAATTTTAATAATTATAGCGTATACAGTTTTCTAAATAATAATAACGATAAAAGAACCCTGAAAAGTTCAGCTAGTAAAATTTTGGTTGATCATTTTATGAAACTAATAATTAGTCAAGGTAAATCAATTTTTTCGCACATAACGCTAAATCAAAGTTTATTAAGAAATGCTAAGAATTTCACCAAGTGGTCTTTAAAAAGGGGTTTTACAAATAAAGGTAAATCTTGGCCTTATAGCTATAGAGTTGCTTGTAAATTGTTTAAATTTAGGTCATTCAAAAGTTCAAAACTCAAAACAAGCTTCACAAACAGAGGGTTTTTTGGTTAAACCAAATCACCGTGAGGATATGTCAAGCCCCAATTCTAAGTACATTAAAAGTATTAAGAGTCATTTTCAAAGGTAACATTGCCTATTCTTTTCATGTTGAACATTATAATATACTATATTAACAAGGGGGCACAAGGAGCAGCCGTCGCGGAAAAATTCTTACTCTTTTAAGAAAAGAAAAGTGAAAGGGGCTTATGAAAGAGGGTCATCTCACTCTCCTTATTTTCGGCATTGGCCCTTAGAAGAATATAAAGGGCGTAACCATTGCTTTATCGAACAAATTTTTGATGACAACGCTAAGATGCACAAGGGTTATATCCCTGGGAACCCTCTCAATTGTAGCCTGGCTAATATGGATAAAGGATGCGTTTGCAACTGGAAACGTTTTGAGTTTACCCCCAGTTTTGAACTTTACAAAGAGCACTTCACACAGAACCTCCCCACCCACGACCTAGAGTTGGCGTTACTAAGAGACAATTATGGCTCTTATATGTATGACCAAACTAATCATGAGATGAAACATTTATCATTTTATGGTAGCGATGAATACTTTTGTAACTTTGGATCACCAGCAGCCTACCGTAAACACTATGCACCTCAAGACACCGACCAAGGCCGCGTGCTTCTATCGCCAAGCAAGCATGATGCCACGAATAAACCTATGTGCGTTACATCAAATTTAGAGACTCCAGCGCCCGTTCAGGCTGACTCATCTCACCACTATTTTTATCGGCCTGAGTCTCAGTTAAGCCTTCTTCCATCCTCCCTAGAAAGCTTTTTCATTTACCAAAACGAAAAAAGCTGAATTAACTCCTCTTAGACAGCCGCAAAAAAATTTAGTAGTTCTAATATGTGCAAACGTTACCAGAAGCCTAAGGCGTAACCTGTTTTTCTAGGATAAACTGAACAACTCTCCTGTTAATACGGTGATATTTTGAATAATACTTTAAACTTGTTTTAGAAAGAAAATGCCATTAATTATTCATATGTAGATTCTTGATAGATTTATGTGGCAAGTGGTCTTAAAAACACATTAATTATATCGCGCAGGCTCGATACATCCTTCTCGCACTTTGATGAGTAAACTACTATTTTTTTAAAATAAAAAGAAAGTTTCTTAATAAAAATCATGAATACTTTTTATCTCTGTTTTAAAGCAGATTAAAGAATTAAACTGTTAAATATGTGACTCAGACTTAAATTACAGTTTTTTTAGTGACAAAAACCTTTCACCACCGCTCGCCTCTTGCAATTTCGTCAAAGGTATTAAAGGCTTAAAGTATTGGTCTGCCACAAAAAATAATACTTATTGGCTCTTAACTTTAATGTTTGCCCTGGATGGCGCTTAACTAGCTCCTTTGTACAACATTTACCTCCATTTTGTTGATAAATTTAATAATAATTAGGTTTACGTGTGTCCATACACCGGAGCCGTATAAAGTTGATGTGCCAAGTTTGTTCTAGCAGTCTTTAAAAACATACAAATTTTTATCCGTAGGGGGGAGGCTATCTACATTTTAAACCTAAAAAAATCCAAGAAATCAGTAAGGAAAAACAATTTTTCATTTTATCGAAAACCTGTTATTAAAAAAAAGTCATCTCTTATTGTGGGAGTTATAGTTAATATTACTGATGAGGCGTACGATACCGGCCTTATAAAGTAAACGACAATTACTGGTCACTACTAAAGAATACTTATAAGTAGGATTTTCCGTTACATTTGTTTTCTATCTTCAAGTATCAAAAAGTATTCTTTATGCGTATCTCAAGTGCATTAACCGCTCGTACTGTGGTTTGGCCTACGACAAAACTTTTAAAAATGGTCGTTTTTGGTGCGGGAGGTTGACAAAGGTATTGCTAAGGTGCCAACTCAAAATGCTTATATACTTGTAGAATTACACTTTCAGCATGGAATAAGACGCCAGATTATTTTACACGAAAAAAAATTGTTATCTGACTTAAGAGCGAGGCCTCTTCTCACGAAAAAATCAAAGGCTTAACCTAATTAAACTAAACTTCTTTCCAAAGACAAAAAGTGAATCCTACAACCATTATAAGATGACCCATACGAAAGTTAAATGGCAGTCTTAGCAACTTAATCCTTGAAAGTATTGACATTATAAGAGAAACCTTTTTCTTAGTAAACACCATATATGTTTTCTAATTAGTAATCTAGTAACAGTTAGCGACATAATTAAATGTATTAGAAAGAACTTAAAGAAAGAAACACTTCTTCCCACCTAATTACGACTCCATGCTGTAGAGCTACTTTTCCTAGCCAAATGACCAACTATAAAATACGTCTCTTTTTAAAGTTCCAAAGAAAAACTAGTTGAACTGTTTTACATTATAAAATGGCTTTATCTATTGAAGAGTCAAATACCTTAATAAAATTGAGTACCGGAGTTCATGGTCTAAATTATGGAATATTAAATTGCAAATCCTCTTAAACTAATGGAAGTCAGACGGAAAACCGACCCAAAATTATTTTTCTAATTATACTCCAAGCTCCGGGTAAAATTCTTAGTTTTTAAAAATATATTGAGGGCTTTGTAGTTTTAGTAACCCTATAAAATTCTACCTCTATACATTAATTGCGACCCCTATATCCCACAAACTACATTTACATTGGAAGTATTAGAGAAACTCAGTTTTCAAAAATATAATACTGTTTATTAAATAACCGTTTAAGTAGCGCTATTAACTTAGCTTAAAAGAAAACATAAACGCTCTTAGTACACGTTTAACTAATAGGTACACAAGGATAAATATAGCGTAATTAACATTTTTCGTAAAAAATTTTTTTTATAGCATAAGTTAGGCTGGCGAGGCTGCTTTATATAACTTCAGAGCAAAAGCGCCTGGAAAAGAAATTTATTGGAAAACAGAATGAATTCTATAGGTGAAATTAAAATATTCCAAAAAACTTTCCTTTTAAAAAAGACACAGTACACACTTCACAATTTTAGCTTTAACAAACGTGTTTGGCCGACTAATTTCTTAAAATATTAATCTTTTAGTTTAATACTAAACTTCCTTCCTTTTTTTACTTTGACTTCTGGTCCCACTATAATATTAATAACTCATCAACTTCCTCACCAAGCTAAATTAACAAGAATTAAATCACCCTTACAGCACAGGATCTAAAATTTGAATAGTTAAGAACTATTTACTATTTATCCAATAGTTTTTAAATTAATTGCATAAATATGTAATAATTATGTTTTTATAAAACATTTGTGGCAGTTCCATTCCTTTCTCCTCTCACTCTTTCTTCCGGTCTTCAGGCGTGTAAAGGTGATAATTTTAATCAAAGGACTGAAACAAAGACTAAACGTCTGGAGGGTGTTTAGTCGAAGTTAAAAAATAGCTTAGTAGTCTAGAGAAGAACTAAGTAAATACTTAGTTAACTAATTTTACTGGATATTTTAAACAGTTTATAAAAAAAAAGCTGTTTTAAACACTGAAACCTATATCTTTTCAACTTGGAGGGAGAAACAGACATACACGTTTAGAGATAAAAGATTTTAAATGTGTAAAAGGAACTCAGTAGCAGCTATACCAAATTGAAATACAATTTAATTGATCTATTTTGGTAAGAAAAAAGGGCCCGACACCAGAAGTATAAAGAGGCGCATAATCTTCTACACGTAGTAACAAACCACCAAATATAACTGCACCCTAATTCTAATTTAAGCTCATTCTGTTATTTCAACACAGAAATTATCAAATAACCGAAATTTATTACAATTTCACAACGAAGCGCGAGTTGCTTGGCATGATTTAGCTGATAAATAGTAGCAAATTATAGTTGATAATTCTTCCATCATCCTGATATCGCACCCTGCGTTTAAATCTCCATAAGTATTTAAATGAAGGACCTATTTTAAGTAAGTCTAAGCTTCATAGAGAACAGCTTAAGCTGCTAAGCCTATATTTGTTAATGAACTGATTACCCCCAGCACGCGGTTTATAAAGCTTAAATTTATCGTCATTTAGTTCACGTGGGAATAACCATAGTCATTTTTATATTTATAACTTTAAAGAGAACAAATATTATTATCCAGAATATTTGAAATCACACTATTAATGATACGTACATATAGCTTTTTTGTAAAGCAACAAAATTTTTTGGTCCCCTGCCTTGTGTCGCTTCGTCTGTTCTCTCTTCGCGCTTTTGGGCCCCAGTCTATAAGTTGGATTGGTGCGTGTTGTAGCTATTAATAATGGTTAAAAAAAAATTTTTTCAATAGGATAAGTCAGGATAATATATTGATCATCTATAGGTTGATCTTTCTAGTAATCGATTATATAATCTAGTTGTTAGCATACATCTAGTTAAAAGAAATATTTAAATTAGATAGATTTATTTTGGCAATATGAACTATGTCGGCTTATACTCTTGTAGAGCAAGTAGGCTAATAATACGTGTGTTCTTAACCTTCAGTCGTCTGGCCTTCCACCCCTCAGAAGACATAAAAATAGCAGTTATTATAAAAAATAAAATAAATGTTTGTAAAGCTATAACTAATTCTTCGTGGTTTTTAAGTACAACAATTTGAAACAGCAATAACTCAATGCTAACAGAAGCACACTATGAATTATTGATGAGAAAATATAATACGGCTAAATAAGTGCTCAGTACAAGTTCAACAAGACGGGAAAAAAGGGTATGCCACAGGTTGATAAAGGGACTAATCATCTCTTAATATTTCCTTTTAACTGTTTACTCTTTCTTTCCTGGTGTTTTACAAACCACCTTACCTTGGTGTATTGAGCAAAGAGTTTTTAAAACCTATTGTAAAGTGTCATTATAATAAGTAATTAAGAATTTTGTTAAATTTCTTCTTAGTTAACTTTTTAGATAAACTAACTTAGCAGGAATTTATGTTAAAAAGCTTAAAATATTATGAAAAGTATAACACTTAGTAAGATTCCTAGTTTAAATTATAGGGATATAATGTTATAAAATCTAATCATTTTAATTTTTCAATTTCCTTCTAATAGCACTCTTTTGGTATCATCCTTATACTGAAAACACTAATTTAACTAAAGAACATAGAGATTTCACTAAAATATAACAGTATTTCTGTTTCGCGTTACTGTTCATGCCAAAACTTATTAAATTTTATATATGATATTAAAATAATTGTTATTAGCCCCCTTACAAACTTGTCAGGGCTCGATACCATGTAGTGTTTAATAATTCCTCGTGCATATTTATCTCGATTCGATTCGTTGAGATTAACACACATTTTATTTCCTCTGTTTTCCTTGTGCTTCTCTTCCGCTATTTTTATTGTAAACAGGTTATTGCGGGTGGCACTTTCTCACCTTTTTTATTTATAATAACATGTCTATAAGAGTTTTTAGAATTAAAAATTATCGTTAATTTTATTAAATCAAAATGGATGTTGACTTAAGAATACTTTCTGTTGAAGAAAAATTACGAAAACTTGATTCTGAATTAAAGACATTCGGTTCTAATATTGCTTTGGGTAACAGACGCAATCTGCTTCGTACAGGTTATAGAAAGTTTCCATTAGAGAGAGAAGGGAACAAAATTAATTTTTATGATGGTAATAAAAACGAAACTCTACCCGCTATACGTTCTCAGGTCACCGTACTTGCAAAGCCGGCAATTCATGAATCTCGCCTTTCTTTGCTTAAAGATAAAAACCTTTTTATAAACGATTCTCGGGAGGGTATATATTTTATATTTTTTCTTCTCCTTTTTTTGAGTTAACGTTTATCTTAGCTCGACATAGAGCTGAGGAACTAACCGATGGTCGCCGGAGACCGATAATGGTTGAGGAATTTAGGTTTGAAAGACCTAGAAGATATAGAATTGAAGTATATAATAGTCCTCCCGGTGGGAGATATAGAAGCCTTGATAAGCGCGATCATGGGCCTTATAATGAGGGAAGAGAACTTCCTCATTACAATAGCCGCCCTAGAAGAAGTGAAAGTTTGAGTCAGCACGACGACCGTTTTAAATATATGAAAAGACGAAGGGAAGAACGACATTTTGATAGAGAACACGATTACAAAACCAGGGGAGAAACAAAAAAGATAAAATCGGAGAAGTCCGAAACCTCTAGTGAAGATGAAGAACAGCACTTTAAAGAGGACGCTGAACGGAAAGATTCGGGTTTAGATGATTCGAGCGTTAAACTTAATACCAAGAAACCTACTAAAGTTGAAACTATAAGAGATCGGTTACTCTTTATTTTGCTTGTGTTTTATATATAGTATATTAGTTTGGGTCGTTTTTATAATAGACGTATGTTTGGGCTGTTAATGGGAACTTTGCAAAGCTTTAAGAATGAGACTGAACAAAAAACGGAAAAGGAGAAGAAGCGTGAGAATCTTTTGAAGAAAATTGCTGAGGATGAACAGAAAGAAAAAGAAGAAGGCTCGTTTGCTTTATAATCTTATACTCGTGTGTTTATATATCATCTAATAATAGCAAAGAAAAAGAGGATAGAGCTTCACCGGCAGCGCCGAATTCTTCTTAGCCAAATTCGGATTCTGAATCGCCGAAAGAACATGACAGTTCTTGTACGTTTTTACTTTTCTCTATTAATAAGAGAGGCAAATAAATCGCTTCTCTTTTGTTTGTAGCGAGAGTCTAAAAAGTACCACTACCGAACAATTTCACTCTTTATTGAGCTAAAAAGCGATCCAAAGATTTTTTTCCTTCCTGCTAAACACAACGATCAGACTAAGGCAGCTCTCGAAAGAACCAAGCAGGTCGGCGATTTTTTATTAATTTTTTCACATGTTATCTCAAATGTGCTTGTACCACAGCTCTACGAAGAAAAATGCAAGCAGCTGGATCTCGAGGCTCAAGACGAGGCGAGCCTCGCCGTGGGAGATGACGAGGTAGAGGTAGAGGTAGAGGCCGAAGCAGAGGCAAAGACAGAGGTAGAGGCGGATGAGAAAATTTCGAATGACGACAACCATGTCGTCGAGGAAAAAAACGTAGAAGACGATTTCAGCCACGATGAGCGCAGTGACCACGACGACACCGCCATTTAAATAAAAATCTAATTGACTTATCTCTCTTTCACCCCTTGCCACGTGTTAAACAAGCGTAACCAGAGAGGCAAAGTTTTTAATGTTTATTCTACCATTAATATAAATAATTTAAATAGTGCAGTGTTAATATAGTTCATGTCTGGCGTTTTTCCTGAGTCTCCTTGCAAGCCGCATGATCGTTCCTCAGCCGTAGCTTCTACCGGCGTGATAGCTTCCTTCATAGTTGGTAGTATAGTAGCCACTATCGTCCTCGTACTCGTGACCGCGCCGGGAGGTCAGGGCCGCTACAAAACCATATAAAAAGTCAAAAGGGGGTGGGAGCGGCGGGGGCGCCACACGTCGTACGTTCTCGGTAGTCCCTGCGAAAGTGGTCTCGGTCTCGATCCCGGTCCCTATCTCGGTCTCGGTAAGGGTGATCGCTCGAGTATGGCTCCCGCGGGTAGTTACCATCTTGCACGTGGTCATTGAACGCATATGGTATTGTGGGGTTGAAGATGGGGGTACCTGGAGGGTGCTGGCTGGGACGGGCGAGGTTACACCTGTAGCAACTCAAGCGTTTTGCAAAGTTGTGATTTTGACACCTATAAAAAAAAGCAAAAAGTAACGAGTGATAACGATAACCGCCCCTTCAAGCGGCCAATACTTCGGATCCGGACAAATCCAGTCACCATCGCGCATGCTACCGGACCCTGATGCAGGAACTCCCCCGTAAGCTACAGCGACTATCGTGATAGTGGAGGAGATTAAAGCCAGCTAAACAACACCTACCAGCTCGATTGCGCCCCGGACTGGGCTCGTAGTAACGCTCGGGCGGAGGGCGCCGGCCACCTGGTCGTTTGTCAAAACCGTCATCATAACCACCGCGGTAGCCCTGATCGTCATATCTGCCACCGCCTCTGCCCCTTCCGTTATAGACAATGGGAGGCCCGTTATAGCTCGCCTGGGTTCTTTGCTCGGGTTTCGGTTTTCCGCATCTGTTGCACTCAAAGCGTTTGGCGAAGTTAATATTTCCTTTAACGAAGTTATTAATAAAATCGGAACAAAAAATATTAAAGAGAATGGAAGCACCGCAATCGAAACAATTCCAGTCGCCCTCTTTTGGAATAAAAGGCCCTCGACCTCTTCCGCGGCCACGCATTCCAGGGTAACCGCCGCGTCCGTCATTCCTACCATAGTTACTTTCATAGCCGTTCTTTGTTAATAAGGAAATCACCACAACTTAACAAAAAACTATAAACATAGCAAACCAAATCGCGGCCTTGACCCGGACCGGACCATATTTTTCGTTGACTAAGAGAAACTTGAATTATGTCCTGCGTGTTTAAGAAAGGCTTTCCTTTTTAAAGCAGCGTAAGTAAGGGGGGGGAAAATTTAAAGCACAATAGGAACCGTTAAAACAGTCAATAGCCATAGAGGCGTAGCTTTCGTCCTCAAAGGTTATGGTGGCCTCTCCTTTTCCTTCGCCGGTTTCTTTATCTTTGTATATCCAAATTTTAGGCTCCCGCTTCCCTTTGTCGAACTTTGGTATAAATTAATAAAAGATTAAATAGAAAAACAAACAAGATTTTAAATAGTAAAGTAGAGCACTTTTATATTTCCAATAAGCTTAAAATGCGTTTCAATTTCTTGAGATGTAACATCTTTAGGAAGACCCGTAACAAAAATAGTGTCTGACTGGGTTTCCATCTTCACAGTAACAGCTTCTAAGAATGGGTATAACCTTGTCATAAGAGTAAAATTAACAAAAAAGATCATTACGGTTATAGTACTAATAAACATCTAATTGTCATAAATAGAAACAGCGATAATAAAAGTGCTACAGAGACAACCAAACGACGAACTAAAAAAAAAAAGAAAATAAACCGTATTATAATACTCTATCAAGCAGAATATATTATTAGTCGCAGTCGAACAATAGCAGATTTTCTAGAAAAAACGCCCTGCACTTCGACCATCTACCTGCAGAAGGGATGGAAGCGGAGGTCAAATGTATTTACTACGACCTTTAACGCGTGGCATGGTACGGAATTAGCATATTTAAAAGCTGATTTTATTACGTCAAGACGGTCGCCTTAGTGACTTTTCCTTGAAAGATACTCGAAACAGCTAACTATGTTAGATAATAATTTTTTCTAAAAGTAAAATTACTATTATACTATATTAGTGATAGGAAAAACTAGTAGTATTGAATAGTAAAGCATTTATAAAAGTATAGTAGTTATAATACCTATAATAGTGATTTAAGTAGTTAACTAATAATAATACAATGATAATAGTAGTTATAACATTAATGATAATTATTATTTTAATAATAGTAGCGTAAGTTTTGATTTTTTATCTAATTGCATTAAAGGGTTTATAAATTCTCAATCTAACCTTTCCTATTAAATGTAAACAACCATACTTTTCTTAAAGCATGACTTTTTATCCACTTTGCGGAGAAACATTCTTCCCTGGGCCTCACGTCCCTAAGACTTAAGATTAAACAGTTTAAGTTCTTTTACTCATCATGACATTAACATGATCGTGCAATAAGTAAATATATTGATTAATTACAGCTTCCCTCTTCTTGTAAGCATATAGTAGCTGGGGAAGTCTTGGTTTAAGTCTCTCTCCCCGATAGAAGTTCTTTGGACGGATTTTCACCACATTAGGCCGTATGATGGGAGTTTCGCTATATCTCTCTGTTTTTAAGTCCTCTGAAGCAGTAATTATACACCTTTAAAAGATCACTCCATAAGCATCCATACCCTAACCCTTTTCAAAGAGGAAAAACGGTTTAAATTTTTTAAAAGACCGACCTTAGCCGCCGTGTTAAAAAAAAATTATGAACTCTCCCTTTAGGCTCTTAACTTTCCAAATATACGTATGCTATTCCTTGTTCTGCCTGACCGATTTTCCTTTACATTATATGCTTATGTCACCGAAATTTATTGTAATTCGAAATCATTGTGCAGTCCTATTTTAACTTAATAATTGATTTACTGAATTTACGGTTATTCCTGCTAAATACCAGGTGATGTTCACCTCAAGAAAAAGAAAAAACGAGATAAATTAAATCTCCTACACTCTCTGATATCTCAATCCACCCTTGTTATCATGTTAAAAAATTGAATACCAATTACGTTCTACGTTTTATAAGCAAAAAAAGTCCATTGAAACTCGAGAATAGAGTTAAGGTTAAGGTTAAGGTTAGGGTTAGGATTAGGGTTAGGGTAAGGCCATTGTATGAACTGTTGATGAGTCATGCGACTGTGGCATGGTAATCCCGCTCTGCTTTGCATTTCAAAAAGACCAAATTCTTAAAACCTTTTTCTTAGCTTTGTTTATTAGCACACTGCATCGTGATTGTGTGATCGAACCACTTTTGCATTACTTTACTTTAAACAAGCGGTAGTGATATAGCTTACACGATACGAGGAACATGCTTATTAACTAGTGCACTGAGCTATCTCCCTGTAATTTTTTAAAACAAAAACGACCTAAACATTTTTTGAGCAAATTTAGTAAAGGATTGAGTACACCAACCAGCCCATATAATTACTTTAAAAAAAATAATAATAAAAAAGATGAAAACAGCGTTATATTTATATGTCATTCCGCTCTTAAGTCATCCATGGCCCCACAGGCAACTTAGGCTACCCTGTCTGGACCCCTTTCATGGCGGGGGAACGTAGAATAAACAGTTTAGATATAATGTATTTAACGATTGTAGTTTGTCAGGGACATAAATAAAAATTAATAAACAAGTTAAAAGTTTCTTACTCTCTTCCTCTTCCTTTTATATACTCACTTTTGTATGTCCTTGTTAAACTTCTGATCCCATTAACAGATAAGCTATAAACAATTGGGTTTCTGATAGAACAAAAACACACAATCATAAGCTATTTTAACACTAACACATTTAACAAGTTTAGAGTCACAAGCTGGTTGTCAGAAGTAGTAGTTCATATAGCCAGCAATCATGACTTACCTTTGAGTCTAGTTAAACTTAACCTTCTTGCAGTAATGTCTTCATAATTACGTAAATAAAAAAAAGCTCATAGCATTGTTAATAAAAAGATAATAATTTGACTTAATTTTACAGAAAGAAAATGGTCTTAAAGTCTAAATAATCACAAACTTTAAGCTTCTAATAGTAAAGATAAATAGTTTGTAATTTGAATTCCGTTTTTTAACCTCTTGTTGTTTACTAGCGCTTTACATAGTATACCAAACAGTCTCTGGACAGATAAGTCAGCTAGTCGTTATATATCCTCTAATTTGTAAACTAATTTACCTAAAAATTTCTCAATACAATATATAAATATTTAAATATGTTTTTATCTTTATCACTATAACAGAAATCTATGTAAAGTTAGTTAAAGATAATGTTTGTTTCAAAATTTAAGTTTTATTGCTAATAAATTTTTTTATAATTTATTTTAAGGTAAAGTCTAAGCCCATAATTATTAAACAATTTAAATAGTATTTTTGTTATTATTTCCTTAATATTGAAAAGGGTTTAGCATATTAGCAAAACTCTAGTAACTTTTTTAATAAATTTAATTTTTCGTAACTGCTAGGGCTCAAATGCCTTAGTATATGATATCCTGCTCTCTAAGTGTGGCGGCCACTTTTTGGCGTGGCGGGAAATCCAACAGTGACAAAAAAAAATTATATACTTTAATTAAAAAAAAGGATGGTAGAAAATTTTTAACAAAGAGCTCATGCTAAAGTCAAGTGCTAAATTATTATTAATTAATAATATAATTTATTTTTATTATATTTAAGCCTTTTACTTATTAACATTAAATTCAGAGCTTGGTTTTAACTAAATAAAGGCTGAAATGTATTTATTAAACATGCGTCCTACTGAGACAGGCTCTTAATATAATACTTAAACACAAAATTGAATATTTTGACCTTCTTTGAAAGTAAATTTCAAACTTACAGTAATGACTTTTACGACTAAAATACAGTTTTCAACTATTATTAACTCGAATTAATATAGATTTTTTCATTATTACAAGTTATATAGGTACATTCTTTTTCAAACCCAATTGTAAAATTAACCTTTCTTTGGAACAAGTAATTTCTATTAATTATATTTTTGTCCTAACTGTGCTTATTAGGAGACCATTACACATAACATAGGCAAAGGCGCCCTCAGCTTGAGCCCCCTCAATTGTTTTTAACGCTATAGCTAACTACCTAGGAACGGCTCTACGAGTATACAAGTTAATTTCTAGTATGAGTTCAAACCACTGTCGTAGTTATAAGAGAGATAGTGAGATTGCTTTAATTCAAGTTTAAATCTTATATGTACACTATCACCCTGTTGAGAGACCGAAGATTCGGTGTTTATTGCCTCGAACGAGCACAGGAATTAATATATAAATTATATAAATTGTGGTACAGCGCAGGAACTTTCGAATGAAACACTGGAGCGGGCAACTCGGTCTGTTAGAGGTTACAATAAAGGATGACCGACTTATGTCTTCAAGTTTTTTAAAGTATATAGTCCTATAGACCAAGGAACTCACCATCTTACTTCAAGAATTATTGAGCCTTCAGCCTGATAACGTTTGTATATAGAGAACTTTAGATAAAATTGCAATTGCTTATACCTTATTCCGTTATCTAATGGGCAGTCTATCTATGTTCCAGCCTCTTCTTCTTCAAGAGTACGGTTTAAAGAAAAACCTTCAACTATTTTAAAGCGGGTTCAAGGTTTTATATTTTAACTTTTCTTATAAGTAAAGCTTATATTAAAGTTTAACCCTATATATATTTTAGATGAACTTACAAAACTAGAGCAAAAAAAAAGGGATCTCTAAACTTTTAGAAATATTCATTTCTAATAATTATACTGAAAATTAAAAGCCGCCTTAACTTACTTGCATGCTTAATAAAAAAAAATTGAAGTTGGTTGCAAAAAAAGTAAATATCTACAATATTGTTAAGCAATTTAAATTTATTTACATAATTGAAAATACAAGAAGGGATAGAACTTTATATTTTGCACCTAGGCAATAATATGGTTTAACATAATTTATTTTGATTCTTTTATTGGTTCTTTAAGCCAAGCCGGTTGCGGCCAGTGAGCAACTGAGTATTTTTTCATTTCTCGTTCCCCTTGTATAACCGCTCCTAGTAATGACGATGCTAAAAAAGTAAAATTCTCGTTAGACTATAAATAAAGATTAAGAAAGCTCTGTTTAAGTATAACTAAGGTAAAATAAGCTTAGTGAACCGATTATAATGCGTGTAGACTACTCGAATATCAAAATTAAATAAGCAAACTGAGTAAAGTTTTTTTTTTGTATAAATAGTAAGTTACTGTACAAATTATGACTAATTAAATCCCAAGCAACACAGAGTATAAAAAACCAGCTAAATACCGGCACAGATAAACACTCTCGCAGGAGCATTCAATTTTCGTACCCACTGAACTCCTTATTTATTATGACATTAAAACAATTTCAATATCGATGGTATAAGTACAAGAGGTTGACCCCCATAGTGAGCGGCTGACAATAATAGAGTAGATCCGAAGATCCCAACTGAGAAGCCTGCAATTCATAAATCACCGAAAAATTAAATAGTACTATAAAACAATATATTATAATCTACTACGAGGATATATTAGATATTGTTTACAAATAATTTTTAGCAGGCTATATAGAAACCCTTAAATACTCCCCAGTATGCCGATGACGTTGCTTCCTTGACTTGGTCTTCACTAGCAAGCTTCATTGAGCATATGTCTTAAGAAATTCGAGTAGTGCCCAGCGCCTTTTAATCTCTCTCCTGTACACACTACTGTTAGTTTAGTTTGAACTATTTATCCTTAAACATTTATTTTTGGGGTTATTGGTTGCATTTTTTTTCTTTACTTTCCCTATAAGTTATAAGAAAGTTGTTTTATACTGTAATTGGAAATCTATGAAAAACTATAACAGTTTAACAAAGTCTATAATATATGTGGGAACGTGCGATTCTTAAACCTTACGTGAACGGCTTATAAGTTTACCTATTCGTAGTTTTGTAGTAGCAGCTTAATTCATATATAGCAGCAATATTAACTTTAAAAATAAAACTTTATAATTTTCTTAACTTTATTTCATAAGCATATATTTTTACTACGTAACCAAATAAATATATTTTCTTTAATATGCAGTATCTCACTTCAAGAGAAGCCAGTCACCAACAGGTCTAAAAGCCAATGAGTGAATCGAAAAATCTGTTATAAGGTGCTATAAGGAGGCGCAACCCTTTAGTTATTAGTAAAGTAAAAGGAGTGGCTCTAATGTTATAATTAGTGTACTATTATTTATAGTGGTTTCGTAAAGTAAATGATTCCTACTTTATTACTAGTATACTGTTAGGCTAAAGTGGCTTAATAACTATTTGTTATTTTAAAAAGAACCGTGAATGAATTCCCCTTTTATAGAATTTTCTAATGCCTGCTCGGGGGAGTTTAATAATACTATAACTACCGTGTTGATTACTTTATTTATTTATTTCTGCTTTATTTACGAGGATCTACAATAAACTTGTTCGTGTGAGTTGTATATAGATATATTGCTCTAAGCTTTCACGTTTGTCTACTAGATTGCTTATTCTTTGTGCAACGAGAAATAGCCATCTTCTCAAGTTACAAAGTTTATAATTTTTCGATCAACACTATGCACACTTAATACTAGTACTTATAGTGATACATTCTCATATATGTGTAACTTTTATAATATCTTTTTGCCTGGAGAAAAATTTGAGCTAATCGCTATCTCAATTTCAGTTTATAATTTTAAATAACACACAACATTACTCGAGTTGTGGTGGAGCGGCCTACAGGCACCTAAAAGTAATATGTTAATGACCAAGTCCTTACACTCATTTATAAGAACTATACAAAGTAAACTACATTTTTACTGCAGTATAGAATAAATGCTTCTCTTTTAAGGGACAGGTAAACATATACTACAACGCTAATTATATTTACATTCTTTTAAAAATTTTTAAAAAGTTTCCAATTCATTACTCTTTACAGACTAGAAAAAAGTGTTTATCTCTTTTGAATCACTACCGTTGTAGTAAAAAAAAAATTAAGGGGTGCAATATATATTAAGAATTAACACAAGCGAGAAATAACTCTATGATAACTTTAAATTTAAAAAATTAATAATATAAAAAAGTTTAAAAGAGTTGAGTTTTCCTTCTAAATTGCAAAATAAGTTAAACCGACTAATAGCTTTTGGAGTATATATAATTTTTCTCTCGAAGAGTAGGGCGAACTTAAGTAGTTATAACTTTTCTGCAGTTAGTCGCTATATATCACCTTTAAAGGAAGTTATAAGATGAACCTTTTTTTTCGCAAAATCAGGAAAAAACGGCAAAGGCGACTCGAAAGCTTTCACAACTATTAGTAGTAAAAGATCATGGAAATTGAATTACTAACTTTTGGTAAAGATTTATTTTTGTGTCCTATCAATAATTCTAACCTCTTAATTCAAAGTTTTAATATTTACTTATAGACAAAATGTAGCTTACAAAAAACTTAGCAGGATTTGAAAAAAAAGATTAAATTATTAACAAAGTATATAATATACATTTTTAGTTCACAAAAAACTTAATAAAAACTGTAAACGGAGAAACCTACGCAACGTGCCTATTTACAAGCTGTACTGACCTTTTTTAAAATTTTTACAAAAGAACCTTATTTTTTATAAAGGTTTTTTCAATAACTACAAGCTTTGTGTGCTGTCGGAGCATTGAGATTATTAAATTTCTAATAAATATAATTATAAAATATAGATTTTTTTTCGACAGCTACTTAAGACTAAAAAATTTATAGCAGTCTCAAGTTGAATATCAGAGCTTCGCTGCAAGAGCTGCTAACAATGTATATAAAATATCGATATTGTTAAAATAAATAGACAATAAATAAAATTTTAAAGATTTATTACTCTCAAATCTGTTGAAGCGGAAAAAAAAAATGTTTCCAGTGATCTATAAAATTCAGTAAGTTTCAATCTTAACTTATAACAATGTAAATAGTAAAAACATATAATTAGTGTAAATTATAAGGAAGACAAGTTTATTATATATAGCAATTTATAGACCAACAAAACTATCATAACAGAAATTTATTCAGATGAGTATGGAACTCTAAAATTTCCGCTTTTGAATTTTGGATTTTTGCGAGAGTTGAACAAAAGGATTGGAGTAGTCCTTTCTTTCTTTAACTCGCACAAACGAAGTATCAAACGAACGAGGCCGAAGTAAAGCTTCTTCAATTTTCGCAGCCATGTTACTCTTTTAACATTAATAAAAATTATATTTAGAAGTACTTCACCTTACTAATAAATATATAAATTATTGATAAAATTATAAATAAAAACTAACGGGTGTTATGTACTCGACTTTGCTAAGTCTTTCCAACTTTATCTTATTTTCAGATTCAAGTCGTTTTTCAAATGATTTCTGTTCCTAAAAAAAAAATTTCTTGAGACAATTCTCTAAAAAGTTATATATAAACCTCAAAACGTGAGTTTTTTCCTATAAGCGCGTCCTCACACATTTTCTTATGAGTTGCTAAAGAAGTAAATCTTTGTAAAGAATGTGTTTTTGGTCCTATTTAATTTTCCTTCGAGGTAAAAAAATTAAGGCATCTACATAATAAAAAACATAACCCCTCATTTGTTTAACACGAAGAACCCCTTCTTTATGTTTTCTCTCTAAATCTAGTTTCAAAGCCTCTTTATCTAATTTTTTTTAAAAAAAACTAAGTCTTATGCTTTATCCTCTTGCTTAAAAAAAAAAACACCCAATTTAGTTTTTCTAATCCATTCCTCTAACCATTGTTTACGTAAAAAATTCATATTTTGATGATATTCAGCTTTCGCTTCTGCGAAGATAACACTCAAAAAAGTTTTACTATATAAATAATTTTTTTTTAAATAAATGAAAATACCACTCATCTACTGGTACCCATTCGGGGGGTGTAGGTTTTGGAGGAAATTCTGTAGAAAATTCATTTTTAAACTCTTTACCCGGTTCAACGATATTGGTAAATTCATTATTGACGATACAATTCTGATCCTTAGCACGCTAAAAAACGAAGTGAATATTATATTTTTAAACTTAATATAGGTGGTTCACATATATTAACGTTAATAGAGATTATTTGTTCTTCTGGTAAAACTAAAGTTAAATATAATTTTAGCGTTCCATAAACACTTTTGCAACTTCTGTGTGCGAGCTTAAGAGGGGCGACGCTAAGCATGACCTGACCAGCTCTAAACCTTGCTAGTTACGGTATGGTTTTTATCTTTGACACCCCCCATGACATCGAAAAGTTGTAATTCGTTAATTAAGCCTGCGAACAAAACTTTTCAAACATGGCAGGAAAATAAACAAAAAGTATATTAGTCCTTTGAAAAATTTCATCCTATATATGTGACTTTGCATTCATATGTAAATTATTGGTTTTCTATTTTTAATGTATAAACTAATTAGACTCCAACTTGGTTAATCACAAGTACTATATGGATTATCAATATTTTTTGGCAGATATTTAAATTGCTTAAATTATATTAAAAGTTTTAGATTTTAAAAATAATTTGTAAACAACTTTTGGGGCATTAAAATTTTGTGGTTGGCTATTTTTAGTTATAGGCTCAACGAGAAAGTTTTCTTTCTTTGCTTCCTACAATATAGTAAAAGGGGAGAAGAATCTTTCTATCTCCCTTATTTTTATTACATGTAATATTAGTTTAAAAAAATTGGTTTTCAAAGCTATAAAATACAACAATAATTAGATTAAGCCCATTTCCTCGCAAAGTACTGACATTAACTATAACTCTGCAATTAAATTTGGGAGAATGCGATGGTATAAACAAATAAAAAATCTTTAATAAACCAATAATATTATATAATTATTATTTAATCGGTTGATATAATCTTTATAAGATGAAAATAAAGATGACTTATTAAATAAACTTAAATTTTATATTTTGGAGAAACTTATTTTAGCTGATTATCTTATAAATAAGAGTATTGTTTTTGAGAATCTATTTGTTGTAATTAAAAAATAATAGTTTTCAAGTGTGTTGTAAAAGAGGGTTGGTAAGATCGCGAGGCTAATTTTAATAATAAATTGTTATATATGCCCAGCCATTTATTTTCCTTGTTGAACGGTGAATGTTAATAGTCGGCTTTCTGCTAAAAAAGATTTGGTTGGTCAGTCATAAGTAATGACTGTATTAGTCGCAAACTTAAAAACTTAATTTGCAAATTACTATTGCATCCAGTTTCAGAAGTTTAAAATCTTGGCTCTTTTCTTAGCTAAATTTGTGGCTTCAAAAGCTCTGCATATTGAAGCTTTTTCAACGAGGAGGCCGGCAACCGGGAATCAGTAACAAATGTCAATGTATTTAAGTAATAGTCCTTCATAATACTTAATTGTTCTAATAAAAATTACTTTTATAGAGTAAAATACCTTACCGACTCTTAAAATAGCTTTAATAAATAGTAGAAGTTGGGGAAAGTTTACAGGAAAATTAAAAAATTTCTATAAAAAATTGGTGGTTAGTATCGTGATATGTGACCACAGAAACGCTACCTAAAATACTCTCATTTTGCTTTACATTTAAATTAAAACTATGTAGCATTTTTTGACCTACTTTTCTTTTGTTAGTAGAGGTACTTTAAATTAATGGGAGCAGTAAAAAAATAGTTTTATTTCCTTTTTAATTGACATGTTACAGTTATAACCCGGCAAAAGCTTATGAAGTTGTAAAAATGGTTACGCGCCATTTGAATGTAATTTAAAACTATTATAGAAAGTTTTATACTTACTATCAAAAATTATGATTGTGTCAACGTTAAATTACATATACCATGATTATAATTAAATGCGTTATATTCGCTATAATATTTTTAATAGGCCTCATACATTAGTATACAAAATAACATTTGTTAAGGTTGCGAATAGACTCTAAAACCCTTTAAAAAAATTTTAAAATACATGATTTTAGAATTTTTACTCTAAAAAGTAGTAGCAGTTAAAGCAAGTAGTTTTAATACAGTTATTAGGAAGCACTGCTAAAAAAATATAATACGAGTTCGTTACTTGTTAGAATTTTCTGCCCAATTTAAAATTGATGCTCAAAAAATTAATCTAGTGCCTTATTTTATTTTAATACAACTTAACATAACAGAATTTATGGGTAACCAGGTGTGCACTTTCTGCGTTTTAATAGTTTGGTGCAAGTTGAAGGCTTGAGTTTTGTAATCTTTTAACCATATTAAGTAATCTGATATGAATAGCTTCGGTTTCATAGAAAAGTTACCTTATCGTAAGAAATAAAACCTCTTTTATTCAATCATTCCTGATGCAAAATTACTCTATTGATAATTAATTTTTTTATAGCCGACTTTTAATACTTTTTTTATAAAAAAAAATAATTATTAGAAATACTTTTCTGCAGTTTACTGTTCAGTGGATGAGTAAAACGCTTGTTTGCAAACTGTGCTTTTGAGTCAATAACTGTGATTTATTATTGTTTGTGGCTACACTTACTAAAAAGATAATTGTAATACCCTCCTCCATGGCTGCAGTAAAGCAAGAAACTATAGGAAGAAGCGCAAAGTATATGAAACTTAATATATATAGTATATAGATGCAAAATTTTTAAAATATTAACTTATAACAACCAGCTTTTATTATCTGGATAATGAATTTGCGGATTATCGATCACACTAGGAATACAGGGATCATAAAGGCTAGAAGGCTTATGATACCTTGCATGGCACTTGCTTTATTTGCTGTGGTCTGTGGATTACTATTTGGCGTATTCCCAGTTTTCTGAGTTTTCCCAGTGTTTTTAGAAGTTGGCTTTCCACCTGTTCTTTGTTTGTTTGTGTTAGTATTCTGATTATTATCAGCTGGCCTAGGATGCTGCGGAGGGTTCTGAGTTTCCTGCGCTCTTAAATTTCCTTGAGTAGGAGTTTTTGGTGTGCTTGCATGTTGCTCATGCGACGGCTTTGGTGGATTATGTGCGATCCCAGTATTTTCAGTTCCTTGAGAATTTTCAGGAGTGTTTCCTGTTGTAGGTCTTGAAGGCTGTGGAGGTCTTTTTGGAGGTGTTTGGGAGCCTTTTGTATGATTTTTATCTATTTCTTTCATCCCATGTGCCCCAGTAGTTTTTTGCGCTATGCACACGTAATGAACGAGAAGTAAAAGCTGAATAACAAGAATCTTCTTCAAAAGAAAAATCATCTTGACTGCTATATCTTCAAGAAATAACAAAGCAAATGGGATCCTATAGATATTATATAGACCAACTTGACTTTCCATTATTAGAAGTTATTTTACTGCCTTATAAGGTAACCTATAGAACGTTATATGGCTAGATTTTTTCTATTTTCGTTAATTATTTTTTTTAACGCTCATTTCTTGGGTTTTTAAAAGTTTTTAGTTTCCTTTAAAATCTGAATAAAAAGTTAACCTTCTTAATTAGGTTTCTCTTAACTCATTTGGTAATATAATAATAGCTTAGCAAGCTTTGTACGTTTATAATATTTCTGAGATTGCAAAGGAGTTATTTATACATATTTCTGGAAGTATATCTATTAACCTTTAGGTAAAGCGGTTGACTCGCTTATTGTATTATAAACGAGTTTACATAGATTTTTATCTATTAGTTATAAAAGATTGTACACACAATTTGGAAACGATGATAATATCTCCTACGCAGGAGGTAAAGGGAAACAATCGCTAGATTGTGACTTTAATTAAAAAAATTGAACTTCCCTATTTTTTTTAAAAACACATTTTTAAAGCTTAATATAGAATCTTTAATATTTAACGATCAAATTCCAATTTAATTTATTAAAGGTAGTGTTACTAAGAAGAATCGCCTTACAAAGGCCACGATAAAACAGAAATTATCTTTTTTTTAAGTTAATTTCAAGAGATTATCAATAATTAATTTGAAAAATAATTTGCTTAAGACAAAGGCTAAAATTTTAAAGCTAATAAACTATTTTTCTAAATGAAATTCTTTATTCCGCCCCCTCATAGAATTATTAAAGGTTAATAATTTACTAACATAAATTTAATTTAGGGACAATTATATCTTGGTCGCTCGTGGCTTTTTACACGTTTATTAACTTGCAGTCTTCTTTGACAAAGAAGAGAACGAATTTAGACACGCAATAAATAAGGCTTTCATCTAAGTGAATTAGTATCAAATCAAATACTAGCCAAGTCTTCCAATAAGTTAGAGCAGTAAAATACTCATCTTAAAAGTTATAGCTTGGTTCTTACGAAAATTATTATAACAATGTGTTACCACGATTTAAAGCAAACACTGACAGGGGACCGAAGACAAATAAACAAAAATTTTGAATTTTACTACAACCGTCTCACAATTTTAGTCAGGTAACCGATTTCTAGTTTGACGGCAAAGGAATGCACGCACTATACTTAGATATACAACTATTTATCCTCTATACCCAACCATAGAGTAGCTAGTGGTTATTTATGGGTTGGTCAAGCGAGTAAGAAAGCCAAATAAGAGACTAAAATCGTCTAATAAAAAAGGTTTTAACTTTAAATCTTGCCACCTAGCAATGAAGCGATTAACTTCAAGTTACTTACCACTCGAGTGAGCAATAGAGGTACGATTATATCTAAACGCTAGTGCGAAACAGTCAAATGAAGTTGTCCTTCGCCCCTTTAATACTTCTATACAGCGTTAAAGGTAAATCGTATAATTAACACAGAAAGAAATTAAACTAATAAATGAATATATACATATAATAATCTCAAGAAGGATGTTATCTTTACAATTAGCACTAAGGACCTAGTTCGTAAGGCGGTAATTTTATACGCAATTTGCTTTTTTATCAAAATATTGAATACAAGAGCGAGTTTAAAAGC